AAGCCACCATTTCACCTCATATTGTAAACTGGCTGTCACTGCTGTGGTTCAAAAGTCCTTATGCTTCCACTGGACATGCATTTGGTACCCCATGACTTGTGCAAATTGTGCAATTCCATAAGATATGAAGAAAACAAAGCACAAAAACCATCCCCAGAGCCAAGGTGAAGAAGCATACAGCTGAATACCTATGGAGCACTGCCAAGTAAAGAGATGATAGCTGGTTCATACAGACAAAAACAGGATGGAATTTAAAAAAAACATACACACGTAAGACGGGAGAGGAGGGAATGTAGATAAAAGCCAAAGATTGTGATTTGGGGAATGATTTTATTGGATCACTAAAATGTAATCGAAGACAAGGTACATTTTCAGGTTCTACGGGATTCTTCATCAAGCAGCAATGGTACAAAATTTGAAATAAAGGTAAGGAGGCAAAATGGGGCCAGTTTTGGGTCCTCGTGTCTCTTTAAACCAGACTGCCAGCAAGGTCAGGTGGAATTTTGCAGATTCTCCCTGACACCCCCCCCCAGGTGTCAAATTTACTGTTTCTCCTCTCTCTGCAGACAAAAGCCTGACTTGGGACACAAACCTCTATGTAAGGCATTTTTCTGCTCTGAGCAGAAAAAATAACAACAATGTAATAGTCTTCTGATTTAAATAAAGGCCACTGTCTGTTGAGCTTCTGAGCAAATGGAAAGTCATGCCTGTGTAGTAATGTGGGATCATAGTACTCGTGCAAGCAATATGACTGTACAAGCCAAGGATCTTTTTTTTCTTAATGGAGATCATCACTTGTGCAACAACAACTACATTGGAAATACTTTCTGTTCAGCAGACGTGTAATAGGATATTGGCCAAAAGTCAGGAAAGCCATCAGTCGGACAATGTCATACAGGCAGACTGCAGCCCATATCTTGGCTAAACACATTCAATTAAGAATGTTAAGCCCTGGACTATCTTCAGCAAAGAAACTGTATGAGTCCTTGTATTGCTCACACAGCACTACTGGGATTGTGATAACTTTTGGTCCCAGGTCAAATCTCACATCCTTTACTGGTGATTATCAAATAGTAAGCTTAACATTTTGATAACCTTGGTATCAGAGAACTAACCTCCTTCCTGTTCAGAGATTTTTCTCAACAATTTGGCAGGATCAACAGACTAAACTCAATGTAAATTTTTCAACTATATTCCTTTGTAAATTTGTTCTCCAGGTCTGCCTTTAAGCCGGAGGTAGATGCCAGTGGAATAAAAACAAAGATCATGATGTCTTTAAAAAAAAAAACAACAAATGAAATTGTCTTTGGTTTGCTGACCAAGTACATTAATTGGGTACACGATTTAGATAGTTACAAAGTCTTCTAGAACAGAAGTGCTTAGTATAATTTTCTATTATTGTGTGTGCACCTTTTAAACAACTTCAGCAACTTTGGGAGTGATCCATCAGCTTATAGTACCTTTAATTCTTTTTCATTTCTTGGGACATTTTTATGGCATAATTGTGTTTGGTTACCTCTAAAGAAACTGCCAAGTTGGATTTTCATCCAGGACTGGAGCCAACATCTGTCATCCCACAATACTAAAACCTATTTTATTTTAAAACAACTGATTGTCCAAAGGTTGAAACCTTTTTGTCTTTCCTAATATCCTTTCTAATTTTAATGTCTTTTTAAATACTATCTTTACTTGGCTCTTTCTTGTGTCTACACAACTAGAAAAAAATGTATGTCATTTCAACTCACCATTTCAGCATATTATTCCTGAGGTTTATCCTATTTTATCAAAACTACCAGGTAATAACCTTCATAAGATACCCAGTGTGGTGTACTAGACAGAATGATGGACTAGGACCCAAGAGACCTGGGATCAAATCTTCAATTGGCCATGAAACCCAACAGGGGAGGTGGAATTAGTAATGGCTCAGTGGTTTAGATATCTGGTTGGGAGTTTGATTCCCCACTGTGTCTCCTTGACAGGAGCTGGACTTGATGATCCATAGGATCCTTTTCAGCTATACAGTTCTTATATTTCAAGGTAAGAAAATGTCTTACTTACCTTGAAAGCACTATTAGGGTCTCTATAAGTCTCAACTTGGTGGCACACAAAACATGATAACCTTTACAGGTAAAATTATAGCCTGGATGGACAATAGCCCTGGGAAACCTCAATGAAGGATTCTATTCAATGAAGACATTTTATTAGAGTGAGCGACATATTTGAGAGGGAGGAAGTCTGAAGTCTGTCTTTACTAAGAAACTAAAGGAAAAGATGAACTGAAGGAAGTGAAAGCAGGTCAGAAAGTAACAATCTATAGGTAGAATCATGGAATCATAAAGGTGGAAGATACCAGAAGTGTCACCTAGCCCAAACTCTGCTGATACAAGATATACAAAAGTATTCCTGACAGATTGACATTCAACTGCTGTTTAAAAATGCCCAGTGGAGGAAACTCTATCACCTTCTGATGTAATCCATTCCACTGTCAAGTAGTTCTTACTGTAAAGAAATTCTTCCTAATGTTTAGTTAACCTATCACTTCGGGTCTTACCCTTTGTAGCTGCAGAAATCAAGCTTGCTCCTTCTTCTACATGATATCCTTTCAAATATTTGAAGATTATTGTATCACCTCTCAATCTTTTCTCACGGCTAATCCTACTGAACTCCCTCAATTATTCCTCATATGGTTTAGTTTCAAAGGACACATTACAGCCTCAGAATTGGACCTGGTATTCCAGGTGAGTTCTGACCAAAGCAGAATAGAATGAACATATTAATTCCATAGATCTGGAAATTGATCCAGTCCTGTATTGCATTCAATGTCCTCCCCCACCACCATCCCTGTGGTCTACTAAATCCCCTAGATGATTTCTATACATGCTACTGCAAAGCCAGGAAACATCCTATATCTGTGCATCTGATTTTTCCTGTCCAAATGCAGAACGTTACACTTCTGCCTGTTAAAACTAATTTTGTTTGTCTTGGTGTAATACTATAACTTGAATCTTATTGTGTTTTCTGAAGTACTAGGTATCCATCTCAATTTGGCATATTCTGTTGACTTGATGAACATCCTTTCTATCCCTTCATCCAAATCATTTATAAAGATGTTGAATAACAACAGTTCCAGGACAGAATCCTACTTGTCCCTTTTCTAGATGATGACAAAGAAATATTGCTGAGCATTCTTTCGGTGCAGCCTATCAAATGATTAAAAAGCCACCTAATAGTAACATCTTCTAGCCTGTATTTACCAGCTGGCCCATGAGAATATCATGGGAGACATTGCTGAAGACTTGCTAAAATCATGATATATTATTTTCAGAGCATTCATCTGACCTAACAACTTTGTTACTCTATTAAAGGGGGTCAATTGGAGTGGGTTGGGCTAAAGAGGGTTGCTTAAGGTTGGGTAAAGCCTGTTATGCCATGTGATGTGATCCTTGCATTTAAATGGCATATGCACCTCAAACAACCCTATTTGGCCCAGAGCCTTTGAAATCTGAGGCTTCCAAAGGCTTCCAATGAAGACAGACATTTCACCAGTGCAACTGGCCAAGCCAATGCTGATGAGGCACACAACTAACTGGTAGTGTGGAGATTGGGTCTGGCACAGCAGTCCTTCTTTCCCACTTGTCTGCTCCCTCTCAGGCTGGATGATGGCACAGCTGTATGGGCTGTTGGTGGTCAAGCTGGACCTCAACATGGCTACCTTCCTTTGCTGGATCATCTAGTGCTTCACCCCACATAGGTAAGGCTGCACTTCAGGGTGGGGTGGAGATTAAGCATTCATCTGATCTAACAACTTTGTTACTCTATTAAAGAGTAAAGGTGGGGGGGAGTTTATTGCCCTCTTAACCTGTTTCAGCAGAAGTTGAATCACTGTCTTTTTATAGATTTTACTCATTTAGCAGCCCAGCTAAACCAGGTGGTAATTGAAGCTGGGTCAAAGCTGTGATCCCATTTTTTTTTCTTTTGCTTTGAGCAGAAGCTCCACTGTCTCCAACAAGGGCTTCCTCACGAGTCCTTATGTACCAGGTCAAATTTTCTCCTTGTCCATTCCTGTTTTGGGGAAGAAAACTTCAATTTTTTTCTCAGAGTATTTTCTCATACCAGCACTGCTCTAATTGATTTAAAACAACTTTTTCCTTTCTCAGAAGAAATTGTTAATGGCCTTATTTAATTTCTGAATTCTCCATTTCATTAAGTGGCTAAGATGATAGGAAGCTATCCAAACCAGCTGGGAAATTAAAATGGGAAGCTTACTTTGGTTGGATCCCAGTGATCACACATGTTGAAAACAAACCAAAATGTTGCAATCCTGTCCACTCCAAAAAAGCAGTAGCCCCTGACAGGGACCCAGAAAGGTGCAGGTATATTCTAGGATGGGCTAGTTAACATAAGCAATTACTTCATCTGAATGCCAAAAAAAGAGAAGCAAACCAGTCCGTTTCCAGAATGGATCTAACAGTGGGACAAATGCCCATCTGATCACAGCCAAAGAGAATGAAAGAAAGAAAAGATTAGTCTGGTACCATGACATGTTTTTGAGAAGCTTATGCTGATTGGTGTTAAAGTAATCACTAGATGATTTTCTAAATGCTACTGGAACAATTGTTTTTATTGTCTGTTCTAGAACTTTTCCTTATATCGATGTCAAGCTAACTGGATGGTATTTCTTTTTTTCTGCCCTTTTTGAAGATCAGTATTATTTGCCCACCTCCAGTCTTCAGGCAGCATGCTTGTTCTCCAAAAATTCCCAGAGATTGTAGGCGTGAGACGTTGAGCTGACATTACATCGGCAAGTTATTTTAGTACTGTTGGATGCAGTTCATCTGGCCTTGGGGACTTGAATTTATCTAAATTAGCTAGGCATTCCTGCACTACCTCTCTACTTATCTTGGGCTGCAGCCACCTCCTCTGCATCACTGATTCTGTTTTCACCAGGCTGAGCACTGTTTTCCTTTCAGGAGAAGTTGGGAGCAATGCAGGCTAAGCAGCTCTGCCTTTTCTATGTCATCCATTAACAGTATCCCATCTTTTCCTCCCAGGAGACCTACGATTCCTTGTTCTTCCTCTGGCTCCAAACAGAGGTAGGAAATTTTCTCTTGTTAACCTATCTCATACGTCTGAGCTCATTCTGACCTTTAGTTCTCTTGACCTTCTCCCTGCAAATATTGGCTATTCCTTTGTACTCTTGTATAATGTTTTCACCCCTTCCATTTTGTACACCTCTCTTCTCAGCTCATCCTAAAGTTCTTTATGTGCCCACTCTGCTTTCTGCAGTCATTTTTTCACTTTTCTTTCTCATACAAATTGTTTGTGATTATGACTTTAGTGTTTCATCTTTAAGGAACTCTCACCTACCATTAACTCCTTTCTCTTTGAGTATTTCTGAACATGAGATCCCGACTATTATTTGCTTGATTTTTATCTAAGTCAACTTTCTCAAAGTCATTATAATACCATCAGCTTGTTACTTCCTCTGTACAGTGGATCCCAAGAAAGTGTGGGCACTTCCAACCAAAGTGTCCACTATGCTGACTTTGTTGACTGGCTCACATAAGGAAACAACACAGCAGAACAGAAAAGACGATGGAGAAAACTTAACAGAACCTTAACTACGGTACCTGTTTCTACCTCCATCAGCCCCTAGAGACAAGGAGTCACTTATGCGAGCAGTCTCAGGTTGCACATCCTTCTATTTCCAAAAAACAAAAAGAGAGTTGAACTCAGGCTTCTCAGTGGTAAAGCACTATTTATGACAACATACTGCACTAGCTCTAATTTCCTGCCTATTAAGAACATGCATATGTACTTGTATTTACACTTAGATCTATTCTTGAATTCCTGGTCTCAGTGCTCAGCCACCCGAAGCCAGAGTGGCGACTATAATGACTAAGGCTCTTTAGCATCTGAGATCTGGAATGTTCTTTCCATTTTTTCCAGTGACCCATTAACCATGTCAGCCAAGGGATCTCCAGCAGTTAGTAAAGGCATTATTATTTATATAGCCTTTTAAGTGAGCAGCAGTTGATATGTGGGGTGCTGAACAATGGCTTTACAAGGTTTAGAGAGCATCCTTCTTCAACCAGGCAGTCTTGGGATGTTTAGGAATTCATATGAATCACCCTCCTTATTCTCAACATACAGAAACTGTAGAACTTGAAGTTAATCACCCAGACAGCACCAGCTTGAGACAACCCATAGAGGTGTGTGGATTTGTGTTTTCGGACTGAAAAATAATAAGTTCTTCACTAGAAAACATGCACAACCAATGACTCATATGACTTGTTAAGACACATTCTCTATAGGAGAGGCCTGGGCAACTGTGGCAACAAGAAGATAAGTAGGGTGCATCTGGATCACAACAAAAGCCCCCCTAGTCCAACATTCTGATCAATCAAGTGCAGAAGCACCCATTGTCTCCCTCTTCCCAGAAAAACCAGTCTTCCAAAGGTTACTGGATGACATCTCCTATCATCCTTCCTCCCTGGCTTGCTGGGGCTGATGGGAACTGCAGTCCCGCAAAATCTGAAGGGCAAAACATTGCCCGCCCACCCAGCCCCGTTGTGGAGCCCAAGAGAGTTTCACATCACCAGTATAAGCAGATGTTAAATTTTTCATCTTTAATCTAAAATTACTTCGAATATTCGATTTTGCTCGCTCAAGTCTCTTATGGAGGGTCTGGGGAAAAACCTTAGTCTCTTTTAAGTCTTTCCTTGCACGGACTCCTCTCCTCCAATTCACCTCTGGAGAGCGTCTGAGAGAATCCCTGCTGCCTCCGCGATCCCCTCCCTTCACCTAAGCCAACAGCAAACACGCGGAAGGAACGCGGGCGAGTCGTGCTCCCAACGGGCGCCCCTCCCCACGAGCATCCGCGCCAAAGTGAGGCGGGGGCGGGGGGGAGAGGGAGAGAGAGAGCGGGGATCCGAGCGCGCGCGCCAGCGCTGTCCAAAGGACAGCTCCTGCCAGGCAACCTTGCGCGCGGCGGCGGCGGCGGTGGGGGTCGTCTTGCGTGCCAAGGAGCTAGTGCGCGCGCACACACACATATCCCCACGCGCGCACAAGGCGGCTCTCTCTCCACAGTCGCTCCACCTCTCTGCCTGTGCCTCGAGGAAGCCGCAGAACGAGAACAGACGCCGCCGAGAGCAGCAGCAGCAACAGGAGCCGCAAGAGAGGGAGGAGGACGGACCGGAGAGCCGCAGAGTGACGGACTCGGCGTCACCACCGCGCGGTACCCCCGCACACGCGCTCCTTCGCTCGAGCGGCAACAGCTGCAAGCGGAGACAGCCAGCCAGCCAGCCAGCGAGCCCCCTTTTCTGCCGTTGGCGCCGAAGCCTGGGCGCTCAACTCCCGGCTCCGGCACCTGCCTCCGCGGCGTCTCTAGCCGAGCGGGCCAGCGAAGCCCACCGAGGAGGAGGAGGAGGAAGAGGCGGCCACGGCGGAGCCGCCACCAGCCCGGTCATGGGGAAGGAGCCCGACAGCAAGAAGGAGGAGGGATGCGA